TAAAACAATGGAAAAACCCTTAAGATAAAAACGCATCTTAAGCGTGCAGAATAACATAAGTGGACTTTGAACGATTAATTGCCGTTTTGAACGATTAATTGCCACTTTGGACGATTACGTAATTGTGGCATGCATAATTGTAATCGCGATTAGAAATTCGATTAATTGTGCAGCCCTACTCAAAAAGTTGCCTAAAGGATAGAGAAAAAAATATTGAATTATTTATTAAAGATTAAATTAGGTTGTTTATACTCAACTTCATTTTGTTTTGGAGAAGCAAATAAGAAATATTTTAGAAATAATTAAGTATATATATTTTCATGAATTAATAAAAAGTCAAACATTACACAAAAGATAGAATCAATGTCAGCAAATAGTTGCAGGTAAAATGTGAGAAAAATAAACAACTTTTAAAAATTTTAGAGCGATATAAATTACTTTTTCAGAACTCAATTTCTTATATGATGCTAAAGATGGTGGATGGTGGATGATAAATGTATAATCTCATAACATAGCAGTTAATATCATAATACATCACAATATTATTTGAAGGATGCGAGTCATATTTAGAGTAAGAATATCACGGAGACTATGACTCATCAACACTATGATAAACGCATAGCATAATTTGTGTTGAGTTATCATTACAAATGTTTCATCATTCATCTGTGTCTTTGTTTACAATTTCCAGAAAAATCTACAAAAACCCCTCAAAGTGATTTCCCCGCTAATCTCATAAATCTACAGTAAAAGTAGTATAATAGTATTTTTTTTCTCTGTGTATATAGTGTTTAACTGCAGTTCTGTCATGACCACTCTCGGAGGGATTGGCATGGTAATGTACATGACAATGTTAATGTATTTGGTCTTGGTGGAATAGATCTGCTACGCTGCTGCTGAGCAAGTACCGAGACTTGCTGCTATACATCCCCAACATGCTGCTGTGAGCATGTAAGAAATATTACTGCTGCAGATATAACATGCATGAAATAACCCCCATATAGCGTACATGAATCACCTCGTAGCAGATCTATACAGGTGGAGCTGGGGAAGGTGGAGGGTTTCTGAAGCAATATATTTGATATATTCAATATAATATATTTGAATGTTGAGCAGCGAGCTCATTGGCTACCGATACAGGAGAGAACCAATCAGCTGTGCCATGTGATAATGATGTCATTAGGTCAGATTGAGTTAGACCTATCGGAATGCACCATCTAGAGTTTCATGCCAGAACTCTGTATAAGTGTGTATATACTATATATATTGCAGTTTGTATACTAGATCAATCTCACAAAAATATCAATCATATTTCCAAATTCTAAAAAATGCATAAAACATATTTTAAAGAGCATTATTAATATTTGCATTGTTACATTATTTTAAAGATAATTAAGCATATGTATACCCTAAATTCTTATGAATGTAATGCATCTGGACTTTTCACTTTATAAATTCTTTTTTAATTCTAATTATTCTCAATGATTATTCTCAATAAATAATGTGATGTATCCACATGCATTTTAGTATATTGATGTAACTGTCACGATGCACACACACGAGGAACGAGGAGACGCTGGAGAATACTTTACCAAGACTTTATTTACAGGAACCAAGGGAGACGAACACAGGAAGACCTTTAACGGAAGACGTACAACAGCGGACAGAGAACTAGGGACTGGGAACACTTTTTATACACACAGGAGGAGGGGCTGACGAGACACACCTGGGATCAATGGAAATTAAACATGGGAAACACCTGGGAAGAAATCAACTAAATAAGGGCATAGGAAGGCACATGGGGAGCAAGACACACACAAAACATGGAACAGAGCCTGACATCACGCCCCCCTCCGGAAGGCGTGACCTCACGCCATATAACATCCAATGGGGAGGGGGGGTGGGCACTCTGGAGGTCCCTCAGGACAGACACGGACAGTGGGCCTCCAGAGCGGTACCCGTTC